ACACACACACACACACACACACACACACACACACACACACACACACAAACTAAACAAAAGCAATGTGTCACTTAGTTCCATGTAGTCTATCTGGAAATCAGGCAGCTGAGAAGCCGTGCTCACTTCATCTGTGTGAATCACTCCCAAGACACTGAGAGGGACAGAGACCTTCACAGAACAGAGGCCTCCCTTAACTGTAAAGGAGGCAGTTCTAAAACTATTGGCTTGGCAGTGAAACACTTCAAATTATAAAAAGGTATTTATTTTCATTAATTAATAAATAAATACTAGATGATCTCAATTGTACCAAAACAGGATATCAGAAAAAAAGACCTGTGCAAAAATACATATTTAAATATGTACAATTCATTTTTAACAAAATATGTCTTCTGAAATAGGGATACTTCCATATTTATAATAGAACAAGAAATTCCAAAATAAAGATACAAAAGTAGGTTTTTTTTTTTTTAATAATTCTTTGTTCATCATTGCAGCACTTTTTTTTTTATAGTTTAAGAAAACTGCAGAAGCTGTCATGAATTCTATTGGAAAGAATATAAAAAATTATCTTGGTTTTAAATTGACACCAAAGTCTGTCTAGAAACAACCCACACACTGCAAATTTGGTTTTTCCAAGTTAATGTAATTAAAAAAAATATTTGTACTCCCATATTTTAAATGGTCTTAATTGTTCATCATCATAAAAAGTAGTTGTCAGAGAAAATAAAATATTTGAACAGTCTAAACTTTAGTAGCACTGTTTAGGGTATGTCTGTTTGTGGCAGGCAGAATCCAAAATGGCTTTTCCTAATCCCGAGGCTCTGTGTATTACCCGGAGATATAATGAAGTTCAATTAAAACCCCAGTCTAAGAAATCAAATTATAATACTCATTAATCTAAGTATCTACTTTATTCTGAATAAACTTCCTACTGTGGCTCCTATTCACATCTTTCGGAACAACATGACCTGTCTATAAATTCCATCACTAAAAGCAACTTAATTTATAACCATCAAGTCCCCTTGGCTCTGAAAATACATTCTACCCACACCCCATTGCACTTGTCACCAAGTAATTACTATGTAAATTATGATCCCTCACCTCCTTCCCACCACGGGATGGGGCGATCAGACTGACCCCTAACTTCACCACACTGGCCCATCTGTGTTCTCTCCTTAGAGCTCTTCTAACATCTTTAAAACATGCACTGACTGATTGCATAAGACGTGAATAAGGTTCTGTTTCCCTTCCTTAAAAAATTCAACATTTTACATTAATTTCTAGTTAAAGTATCTGCATAAAGTCTTTGTGTTCTTACATAATAAGAGTAAGTGTAGCAATTCACATTATTAGGCTGGTAACCAAGTATTTATTCATTCTACCTGTTGTTGACTGAAATTCCCTGAAACTCAAGTGTATAACCAAAGAATTGTAGGGGAAAGGTTGCACTGTCTGGGCTCTACCCAGACCTGGCCAAGACATGGCTCAGAGCCTTGGGGCTGCACTCTTCTGGCCACTCTGTTGTACTCTTCCTAAGTTAGAGGACTTGGTTGTCTGTGCAGGAGCTATTGTAGTAGCCCGAGATCACCCCAAATCCACTGGTAGAAATCTTTTCAAGCAATGCTTTAACATATTAAACATTCTTTGGGAGTGGGGGACTGAGAAATCTTTAAAGGGCTTTTCACCTCACTGAAAGAAGAGGGCTGTTACTACCACAGGAAAGGTGGGGTGAATGAGTAAATACTTCACCCTTTCAACGCCACCTCCACAAGGTCTCCCACCACCTGCCTCCAAATAAACATCTCTACTGAAGGGAAGCTGTGACACAGACACAATGACAATGCGGCTGAAAGCAGAAACTACTCTTGGTTCTCCAAACAATATTGAAAGAGGAAATGGGAGTAATGCCTTGGAAGTATTTAAGGACATTATAATGACTTTTAAAAAGGCAAATCTTAAAAAGCAGACTGAGTAAGACAATCAACCCAATCTGACGCGCTGCTCAACATGAAAGCACTAAAAAGAAGTCAGTCTCTTTGGAAATCCTGCAAGTTTTGCTTCACTTTTATGATTTTTTTTCACCTCCCCGAATCCAGTGTCCCAACTGGCTTTTTTCATCACCAAACTAGTTTAATTGGCTCTCTTTCCATCTTTCTTTTCTTCATTCTTCCTCTTTCTTTCTCTCTTTTTATCACACATGCTTTTGTACCATGAAAACTAAGCTTCTGAGATCCTTTAAACTTAATATCCGGGCATCAGCAGCTTTAAACCAGTTGTTCAGTTTGAAGAACTTGATAAGCTTCTTATCCCAAATTACTTGAAAAGGGCTGAGCTACCATGCCATGATGCATTGACCAACATCAGTATTCTATTCCTGAACACTGCTATAAGAAAACTAAAGCCAGGAGGCTACTCAGGATGCAACTTGCTCCCCTTTCTTTGGAAGGCCTCCAGTCTCCAGTGCAGGTGTCTACCTGCTAGAGAGTGACCTACAGCTGAGGATGTGTTCAAAAAACCTCTGGCAGAGGAGGGAAGAGTCTACAGTAATGCTCTTGCCAGAACATTCTTTGCCCAGCCAATCTACTTCAAGAGTGGCTCCATGATATGCTGTAAGGTAAAAAACACAAACACAAACAAAACATAAACAAAAACTTCTCACAGATTGGTAGCAAGCAGTCCAGACCACTTTAACACTGAGAAAGCAATCCGGTGGCTGAACTTGATCCAGTGTCCTTTATGAGTACTCACTGCTACAGACACAGCTTCGGGAAATCCTTGTGAAACAGCCATAGGCTACCCTGAAGGCCCACAGGAGTTTGTAAAAAGAGACTCAAAGGCATCGTGGAGTCCAGAGTGCTGAGTAGAGGTGTAACTTGTCTTCAAAAATGTCTGGATTATTCCTTCCAGTGGTATTGTCAGCTGTCAGGGACGTGCCTTTGGCTTTCAAAAAAGAGGAGTGAGGAAAGAGATAAGTAAGTGGCTAAATGTGCTCCTGAGCCTACATAAGGGTATCCCATACTAAAGTCGCGCAGACCTGCTGGGGCCAGAGAGAGCCATCATGGGACCAGCCTCAAGCTTCCTGAAGACTTACTTCAGAAAACTGGCAACAAGAGACTGCTGCTTTGGTTTCCAGATCTCATGTTTGCCTTCTAATCTAAGTTTTCTTTTTCAGTTTGTGTCCTTGAAGGTATTCTAGGTTGTAAATTCAGAACAGAACTAGATATGCTAGCATGGAGGTGTGGCAGCTTATACCCAAAGGTACTGCCCACAGTACAGGGAAGGAACCTGGCCTTCCCATGGTAAATTGAAAGTCAAGAAACCAAGAACATATTTGGGGATGGGAGAGGGACTACTCATTGCCATGTCTTGGGCTTCCCACTTCACTTCTCTATTCAAAGAGTAGCCAACCCAAGCAACACTGTTTTAAAAGCATTCTCCACAAGAAACAGCCAAGGAAGGACTTCTAAATCTCTAGAAACAGTGCCATTCATTCATTCACTCGCTCATTCATTCATTTCTTTTTGTTTTGTGTAGCCCTGGCTGTCCTAAAGCTTGCTATGTAGACCAGGCTGGCACTGAACTCAGAGAACTGTCTGCCCATGACCCCAGAATGCTTGGATTTAAGGCGTCTCAATATGCCCAGTTTTAAGATATAGTGTTCTTTTGTTTGTTTGTTTGTTTGTTTGTTTTTTGAGACAGGGTTTCTCTGCATTTTTTTAAGTGCTTTCATATGGCAAGAGTTCCTCTGAGGTTTGTATACAGTGTAAGATGCCTCCCACAGTCAGATAAAGCTGGAAAAAACACTTTGTAAGGTTCACATGTGTCCTCTTATCACAAGCCACAGGGTCCCTAAGATTTGTGAAGTATAATTAAAAACAACAACAAAACCAAACCATCCTCAACAGAGAAAGTCTTTCTACAGCATAATCTTGAGTTGAAATTGACTTAGAGTACAAATTTAGAGTGTCTGGGTCTTCCTAGAGAACAACCCCCAAACCCAAGATAAAGGCAAAGCAAAAACTGACAGATCAGAACCCAAATTGTCCAACAGATATGTAGGCTGTAGCAGGCTTTTAGAAGAAGGTAGAGAAGCAATTCACATCTAAGCCTAGCTCTGCGATTGCTCTTTAAACTAGTGACAAAATAGGGAACAGCTGCTCTAGATTGGTGGGTCCATCCTCCATCCCAAGATCTTCCAAAAGCACTGCTAGCCCTGCTGCCTCCAATGCCCACCTCTGCCTTCACCTCTGCCATTAGTTACTCGTGGTTAAGAGAAAAGTCTACACAAGTCAACGGTCTAAATGAAGACAGTATAGAATACGCTACAAATGTGGGTGGGTGTTACAACCTCCATGCAGCAGTCCTAGGCCCCAGGATACCCACTCGGAGTTCTGAAGGATGAGTGTATTATTTCTTGCTGTGTTTGTATTTCTGCTACATGAATCATAACTATATGAGCAATTACAAAATAGGTTAAAAAAAAGTTCACATTTGCCCAAGTACTCCAAGTGTTCAAAAATGCCTAACTTAAGCACCTACTTTTAATTATTTTCCCCAATAATTTTGACATTATCAATTCACACAAATACTGAAGAAAAGTAAATTACACTAGAGACTACCTTGGCATTTTCTGCATAAGCCCTAAGCAGTTAGGTTCTGAGGATGAGACAAAGGAAAAATAACATAAAAGAGAGCCTCCCTTTTTAAGTCAGGGCTCTGGGGTGTTGCTGCTCAGTTCCTGTTCGTAAGCAGGAGAGAAGGTACCCTGATGAATGAAATAACAAGATGAGTGATGAGCTGGAAGTTAGGGCAAAAGAAGCTGGAAGGAAGAACTACATGAGAGGCAGTCAGGAGAAACCAGCAAGATTGGGGAACTGACAAGAATCGGCACATGCAAGTCATGACCGCTCTGAACCCTGTGAGCCACTGCCTTCTAATGGGATGCACAATACATCTCTTCTTAAAGTATGAACCTGCGGCGGCTTCAGCTGTGCCAATACTCAATCCTGTCTCCTGCCTCCTGTGAGAGCCTGGAGAGAATATTTACCCAGAGTATCTGAAATTGCTCACGATGGAAAATATTCCAAGCTCATTTTTAAAGGTCTGAAGCCATTGCTTGCTAGATCAGTTTGCTTTCAGCCTGGCTTTCCTCATGGGAACATACTCGACGGCTACGCAGGTTGAAAAGGCTCCCCGCTTTCCTCTCTGGCAGCATCAGGGTACCAGCTCTCCACATTTGCAAAGGGAACCCCTTCTAATTCCAACTCTGCTGACATGCCTGGTGCTTCCCTCAGGATGCTAAATGCACGTTTGGTTTCTCTACTTAGAAACATCTTTAAAGGCATTAGACATTCTGTAGAGGTTTTCCCCTTCACATGAACATGGACTCTCCTTTGTTAAAGATTACTATGAAAACTAGGCATCCATTTAGGCAAACGAACCAACCCAATCACAGTTTTCAGAGCTGGCAAAAGTCCCCAAAAAAGAGGTAACACACTTCCAGAAATCAGAGTCCACTTCCTACCTGATGAAGGATGGAATTGTTCGACAGTCCTTGTGCCCCTGGGATGGTGCCTGTGTGTTTCATGTGGACGTTGTTCATAGCTGGCAATCTGGAAACCTTTGTAGGTTTGCTGCCACTGTTGCCGACATTGCTAGAGCCTGGAGAACACTTTCTTTTCTTTCCTATAAGTTTGTCTAGAGGAGTGTGCGAGTGTGAAAAACTGCCCTGTGAGTTGACAGGCAGTTCATTGGATTGATGAATGAATGGGCCAAGAGAAAGAGTGGAGTCACTGCTATTCACCATTACACTCATCCTCTTGATGGACTCTGCAGGGCTCACGCCAGGGGGACCCCTTCCTGCCTGCTCATGCCGGAGGGCCACCGAGTGCGCTTTATTTGTCACACAGTTGAGGCCAATGCTGTGGGAAGATGCTGCTGTTGACAGGTATGGAGTCCCAGAGTGAGCCACACAGTTTTTCCTGAAAGAGTCCACGGAATGAGACGACGACGAGGAGGAGGAGGAGGAGGAAGAAGAATGGACTAACAGTGGGGAACTGTTTTTGCGTTTCTTTCCTGAGCCACCACTGGTACTGCTACTGGCATTGTGACAGTTAGTGCTATTACCAGAAGACTCCTTGGGCCTTATAGACTTGCTAGGTTTCAATTTCTGAGGTTTTCTGGACAGAGGGGAGGAAGGGACTGCAGAGAGGCCAGAGGGTGTGGAGGGGGATGAGGATGAAGCAGGTACTTGTCTGGACTGCACACTGCACACAGGATCCATCGCCCCAGAAACAGCAGGCTGTGCATTTAGAGTGGTTCCATGAGCTGGTACCGATTTGCTGTTTGGGGAGATGCCGGTGGACGGTAGCAGAACTGGGGACGTAGAGACAGTGGTTGACGAAAAATAGTTGATCCCACTTTGTGATGTCGGCACAGAATTTGTCCGGTGAGGAACACGGGTAGAAACAGGTGATGTGGTACAGGACACTGGTGGGATTTTCCTGTAAAAAGGAGATACCATGGGCGATAATTACCATAGCTGGCCACAAATGCTTACCATAACCACAACTGGCACGGATGGCTAAAGATGGGCACCCCTTTATTTTCGGCACTGAGAAATATACCCTTATCACAAAGATCAATCCAAAACACAAACCAAATTCTGACGTATTTTTTTTTTTCCAATTCCTTATGCTTCCTGGAGACCCTGGAAAGACACTGTATACCTCCCTGCTGTTACAGCCCTAGCTTTATACTTCCACTGCTGATCCCTGGCAGTCTTTCTTCTGCTCTAAGCACATGCGACAATGTAAGAACTCCTGCATGTCCTCTGTCTGGGCCACTGTAGTTAGTTCTGACTTCTTTAGTTTCAACTCGTCACTTCCTTAAGAAGTCTGCCCTGACCACTATGCCTTCCTTATATCTCTCTAAAAGCCCCTGCTGTGAATTTTGTGTAGGTGACTTTAATATTTGACTGTAAATCACTTACTCCTTTTCAGATATTGTAATCCAGCTTATGTACTATTTTATCCATAAGGCCTGGAATACAGTATTCAGATACTGAGGAAATTCAAGCAAGAATAAGTTACTTAAGCAATAGGCAGGTTGTGACTAATGGCTGGGACACTGCATAAGATATTATAACAAATAACTTTGTAATGTGTGGGCAAAGTACTTAGTAGGGGATGAGAAATCTCTTTGTAGAGTCAAACACAGGGAGCCCCCTTTTATTTTAGCTGAGTTTTAAAAATGTTTCAGCATAAAAAAAAAAAACTGACAACAAGAAAACCCAATAAGTCTGATAGCATCACTAAAACTCAGATAACAACAGCTGAGCACAAGGGTGCATGCCTATGGCCTGAACTACTCAGGAGGCTAGAAGATGACATCCCATAAGTTGAGGGATGAGACCATTTTGAGCAACATGAGGCCTGTCCCTGTTAAACAAAAACAAAAACAATGGGCCGGGAGACTATGCTAATACCACCCTGCCTCAGCCTGGATGGACTGGCCCTGTGTGTTTTCATCACAGCCCCATGGAGCTCAGTTTCCTCCACATTCAAGGGACAGATATGGCCTGAAATGCTGTCATGTGACTTCAAAGTATTTGTTTCTATTTTAAATGCACAAATGCACACTGCACTTCTGCTTTTTACTTTCTGCACATTATGAGCACTTATAGAGCTTAAGCCACAACCATACTTATGACACAAGAAACTTCCGTGAGAACATACAGACATCAGTCAGTTTTCAAATCTTTCCAGCAGACTCTGGTGTGGGCGCACACCGAGAAGCCTGGATCTATACTTGTGAGGTGCACTGATATTACTTGAGAGGTTTGTTAGAAATGTGAATTCCCAGGCCTCAACCCAGACAACTTCAGCAGAATCTGTCTCTGAACAAGGTACCTCCTCATTGGATATAGTACCTGACTATGGCCACTAGGTGGCTCATGAGCCTGGGATTTAAAGACCATGCTGTTTGAAATCCTGGGAAAAGAAAAAGGTCTCTTGTATACTTGAGCCTCTTTTGGATATATGCCTAGGAGTGATATAGCTGTATCTTGAGGAAGCACTATTCCTAATTGTCTTGAGAAACAGCCAGATTGATTTCCAAAGTGGTTGTACAAGTTTACATTCACACCAGCAATGGAGGAGGATTGGCCTTTCTCCATAATCTCTCCAGCATGTGTTGTCACTTGAGTTTTTGATCTGAGCCATTCTGATGGGTGTAATGTGATATCTCAGGGTCGTTTTGATTTGCATTTCCCTGATGACTAAGGATGTTGAGCATTTCTTTAAGTGTTTCTCTGCCATTTGATATTCCTCTACAGAGAATTCTCTGTTTAGCTCTGTACCCCATTTTTTAATTGGATTACTTGATTTGTTGCTGTTTAACTTCTGGGCCCAGGGGTCTTTTTGGAGACTGATACTCCAACCAAGGACCATGTATGGAGATAACCTAGAAACCCTGCACAGATGTAGCCCATGGGCAGCTCAGTGTCCAAGTGGGTTCCCTAGTAAGGAGAACAGGGACTATCTCCCATATGAACTCAGTGGCTGGCTCTTTGATCACCTCCCCTTGAGGCAGGGGCCAGCCTTACCAGGCCACAGAGGAAGACAATGCAGTCAGTCCTGATGAGACCTGATAGGCTAGGGTCAGATGGAAGGGGAGGAGGACCTCCCCTATCAGTGGACTAGGGGAGGGGCATGGGATGAGATGAAGGAGGGAGAGCAGGATTGGGAGGGGATGAGGGACTGGTCTACAGCTGGGATACAGAGTGAATAAATTGTAATAAATTAAAAATTAAATTAAAAAAAGAAAGAAAAAGTTCTCCACAGGCACCATGTGAACCTCTTGAAAGAATATAACTGCTTTCTCTTTTGAAAGCTCTAATAAGCTAAATAAAGGTATACAAACACAAACACAGCGCGCGCGCACGCGCACACAAACACACACACACACACACACACACACGTGGAGATAGGAAGGCAGAAGGCAGGGAAACTCTGGAACTGTAAAAATACCTTAGAGTGACATCCCAAGCCCTTCCCAGAGCAGTAGCTTGGCCTTTGAGTCACAGCAATACTCTGGGGAAAGGGCTGGTCAAACTCCTGTTCAGGAGCTGCAGAGCACTCATTTCAGGTTCACGTTCTGTCTCTAATGACATCCATTTATTATAATACCAACTAAAGGGTAAGAGGACAAGAATGATGCTTAAACAGAGCTCTTTCCACAAGGAAAGAGTTTCTGTTAAGCCAGTCAGATAGGACCTGGAACACAGTGACAATACCCTACAGTATCTCACAGAGGCCCTCTGGGTAGCTCCTGTCTACGTGAGAAGTGCTAAGCTCATCTAGTAAATTAAGGGCTGTGAGGGAACCAATTTATAGTACTCCTGCTCTGGGGAGCATTTCCTGAACACTTGTGGCTGGGTCCCAATCCACACTCCTGTCTACTTCAAGCCTGTTGCATTAGCCTGTCACTCAACCACACGTTCCCCATTGCTGCACTGACTTTTAAGAGCAGAGATCATGGAGCTAGGGATGTATGTGGCTCAGTTGGTAGAGAGCTTGCTGAGCACACATAAAGCTGTGGGTTTGATTGACAGCACCAAATAAAACCAGGCATGATGTCCCTATAATCCCAGCACCCAAAAGGTGGAAACTGCAAGATCAGAGGACAGCCTGGGATAAAAAAGTAGCTACTGTGAATAAATAAACCAGAGTTCATGCTAATGGATAGGAGAGCTAAATAACGAGGTATCCTTGGCAGAGCCTGCCAGAGCAGAGGGCCAAATCAACCTCAGAAACGTGCTTTTTCAGACACTCAAAGCTGTGGGCATAAGCCATCTTTACTCCACGGCTGGCTGCGGACAGCTTACCAATGTGAGGTTACCAGTCTACTTACCAACTCACAAATCCAGGACCTATCAACAGTCATGGACAAAGATTTTTTGACTAGAGACTAAGGTCCCTCCATTTGTACCTGACTTCCAGTAAACCAAGCCATGAAAGCAAAGGGCCTCATTTTCATCCATTCAAAGAGTGCTAGCCAATGATAACCACATGGTAGACCCTGAATGGACATGGATGACTTCATAGTCCCCTGTAATAAAATATCCCGCTGAACACAAGTCTTCCCTAAATATTCTTTTAAACAACATTCCTGGGGCAGAGTTTTAGAAACGCTCTCCAGTATACTAAAATATCTCTGCTTTGACAGTTGCAAACATCTCTGAGAAGCGTTGTGTATGAAAATAAGCTAACTTGAAAGGCTGAATTAAGTTTTTGGGTCAAGCATCTCTTCTTTTTATAATCTCTTCAGTAAACATAAGCATACATGATGCTATACAAATGATTCAAGGGCAGGTGATACTGCTAAGTGATAGAGTGCTTAGCTGTCCTGCCCAAGATCCTGCATTCAATCCGGGCACAACTCCCCACCCCCCAACTCTAAGATGTGAAGATGTAAATCCAAGCTCATGACCAGTTTACCACTGCGCCCAACAATGCCAATGCTGCCAGGCCGTCCTCAGCTCTGGGGTCTTGTCATATGCTCACTCTCTTTCTTGCTGTTTCTGAAACAAGTCATCACCTCTTCTGACTAGGTACCTTCATACATCTGGCTTCTCCTCCTGAAACACAATACTGCTCACACTCTCATGACAGTTCTTCCAGACCAATTCATCATGGAAAAGCTTTCTGAGTCCCACAGCCTATTATGTCCCATCTCAGCTCTGTGTGCAAACAAACTGCCACCTAGCAGTCCCACCACTAACTTGCTGTGTGGCTTTTTTTTTTTTTTTTTTTGGTCAGTTTCATTAATGAAAAATAATAACAAAATTTAAAAAAGGATAATTATAGTCACACAGTGAATACCTGTGAAAATTCCATAGTTAGTAGTTAACAGTCCCTAGCACACAGCCAGTTCCCAGCAGGTGTCAGTGGCCATTCTTTTTCTTTCCTCCATTATCTCTCTGAGAAGCTGTAGACTTGTTTCTGTTCAATGATCTTTGTCTCCCTACATGCCTAACTATAAGATGTGGTCCTTCCAACTTAAGACCCTGCACTCAGAACAAGACGTAGTTGCTCAAAGAGTAGATACATTAGTTCTATAGGAAGCCATTTCCCCCCATTTAGATAAGCATGTCATAAAACAGAACTTGAGGTCATCAAGAAAACACATCATTGGGGCAGGTCAGCTCCCTCCTTGCCCTCCCAACAAAAGATACTTACTTCCAAAGCTGTGCATTCAAATGCTTCTCTACCATGAGGTTTAGGGCACAGCGAAGCCGGTTCCACCTGGTGTCAAACACATAGTAACCTCTTCCAATCTGCCGGCTCCCAAATGTGCAAAACTGAAAGAGAGCACCACACACATGCATGTCACTCCTGCTGCCAGCACAGAAGAGGGTTCCCGATTGAGTACAGAGCATGCTAAGGTGCTACATGGACAGCCACGGCAAGGTCTCTGCCACCCCCTTCAGTGCCCTGTCCGTTCCTGGGGAGGCCACTGCAAGTGGGTGCAGAACTTACCGACGCTGGCTGAGGATGATGACCTGAATAATGACAGTCCAGTTTTTCAACAGACTCTTCTTTCTCATCGCCTTCACCCTCCTCACTGGATAACCGAGAAGCTGGCTCAGTGGCAGGCAAGGGAGGGTGTGGAGACTCATGGCCTGGAGGAGGGTCAATGGGGGCACTCCCTCCTTGCTGAGCAGGGCAGCCTGGAGGCCTGAATGTGTACACAGTACAGCACAGCTCAGAACAGTAGAGCACAACCTGCTGTGCTCATCAGCAACCTTTACTCAGACACATACATACACCCTCAGATGGAAGGGGCAGGGTCCACCAGCCCCTGGGCAGTATGCTGACTCAGGTGGAAGACGGCAGCTATGCGAGGGTGCACACACACACACAGCTCTCCTTAGCATCACTATTCTAAGTGAGTGTCTGTCAGACAAAACCACAGGCAACTTTTAACTAGTCTTCCCGCCCAGCCAGCTGGTGTCCAAGTCCCCCTTCCATTCTTCCCAAAGAAGAGGAGCATATGGAATTTAAGAGGATTCTTTCAGTGACTGTTTTTATATTTCTCAACATCTTAACAGTATCTGATTTATACTGTAATAAATAAGTTAATTGGCAAAGTACTCTAGAATAACCTAAAGGGACAGGAGTCGATAATGAGGTAGGTAACATTACTACATCACCAGGTCAGTCTGAACATCATTACTTAACGGTAATGTTTTCCTCTTAGATCTATGGTGGCTTAGTGGTTCCCAAATAAATCTTACTTTTCAGATGAGAAATTTTCATTGAGAAGATGTCAAAGAAGGGATATGACCTGACTATATTTTTGGAAGCCTCCACTGACCACTCTCTACTGCCTTGCTTCTAAACTACAGGGCTCATGTTGGACTCCTCCTGACACATCCAAGCATACACTTTGGTTATCTTGAGGGAGTAGCTTCTACCTCAGTACAGTCAGCCAGTGACCAGAAACAAAAGGGTGAAAGTACGCAGCAGCAGCCAGGGGCTGGCATACCAACGGAGGCCCTGTGGCCAACTGCCAACCAACCACCAGTTCCTCACACTCCAATCCTCCCCCTCCTTCCCGACCCCCTGTGGGTCCAAAGTTGTTATTTCAACTTGTTTAAAAGCATAAGCACAGTATATTCTCTCATCACTGTCTTTGAAGTTTAAGCACTCTGACCCACTGCTTTAATGCTGCTAAAATGCCTACTTTTGCTCAAGACAAAGACCCAAATGATTGAATGAGAACCCATGTTGATAAACAGATGTTATTAAAACTAAACACTTTTCCACAAGCTTTCTCACTACTACAACTAGAAAAAACAAAACAAACAAACAAACAAAGAAATAAATGGCCAAAGCCATCTGAAACATTCTTACTAGGAACCCAAAGGCAAGGCCCAATCTCAGCTCTGCTTAGCAGGGTTAAGAGAAAGCTGGCAGAGAACCACCATAGGGCAGCAACTCTACCTTTTATTAGTGTTTCCATCTATGACCATAAGTCCTGGTCAAAATTCATTGAAGATTCAACAGTTTTTATAGTAAAACCCAATTTACAAAATATCAAATTCATCGTGACAGTGATGCAGATTAGATTCTTGGCAGCACAGAGGCACAAGAGGTGGAGGGGTATACTGGGTGCGTGCTATCTATACACCTATTCCACAAAGGCAAGGGACAGAGCTGGGGCTTGGCTTACCTTGGAAGACTGGGGATATGAGGTTTTGATTTACTAGCTAAGAAAGGCTTTGATTCTGAAGGAAGGTGTGGCTCCTGTGGCGTCCTAGGAGGGGTGGGATGCGGGTCCCTGAGAGGATGTGGTGGTTGCTGAGAGTCCAGATGGCGAATCGATTCCTTTTCCCTGGCTTTGTTTTTGTGCTCCGCTAGTAACACATCAAATCGTTTTCTTCTACCCTGAACAGCTCTCCGCTGGGTTAAGGAATGTGTCTATAAGACACACATACACATAAATACCAAACACAGAAACAAAGCAATCTCAATAACAAGTTTAATACGCTGTATATTCCAAAACTTCTCCCCATAAAAAGTAACCTAGAGCTTTGCAAAGATGAGATATCTCCACATTTACTAATGGAAATCTTCTCTCTTCAGTAAAGCTAGAATCATACATACTCTAGTTGTAGTACCTGGGATAGAAATGAGTATCAAATAGAACAAAGGGCAAGTACTCATGTTTTGTGCCACCAGTAAAGTATTTCATTTATCTAGGCTCTTATGAATTTCATTAAAAAAAAAAAAACAAGATGATTTAAAATTCTGAATACTAACTGAAAACACATATCGCAAAGTATTCTTTCAGTAACCAGGACAAAAGTTAAATACAACTGCTTGTCTCTATTCTAATGAAGTAAGGTGCAAAGAAAGAAAGGAGCTCATACATAGTATTGTAGAGACAGTCTGGAGCAGCCAAAAAGACTTGAGAGAAAGAAAGAACACAAGGCAGAAAGAAAAAAACCAAAAACTACAAACAAGAAGAGACAGAAATGCAGTAAAAACTAGAACTCTCTAATTTCTGGAGTAGGAAATGGGCACATAGACAGCGTGGCAATTCTGGCTTTAAAAAAAAGCCAACTAACATAAGGCAACTCTTGATCACATTGTACAAGAAAGCATCTACACACCAAATGCTTGATAATCACTGATGTTTTTAAACGCTGATTTTACTTTCCATTATGTATATTTATGTGTCTATATGTGGGTGCCTGCGTGTGAATGCCGTACCTTAAGGAAGTCAGAAAGTTTGAAACTCAAGTTACAGAAGCTGAAAGCCACCCAACACAGGTGCTAGGAAGTAGACTTCAGTACATACTCCTAACAGTAAGCACCCTCAGCCTTTGCTACCTTTGAAAGTGCTCAACCAAGGCTACTCCCATCAGGAGAGAAACTTGATCAGAGTTAAGCCAATCTCACCAACTGTCAAGTCCAAACACTGTAAAAATCATTCTGCACACCCTAGTCCTCTTCTCCAGTCTACTTCTAATACTACTGCCATTTGGGTCTGTACAAAAGTGACAGACAGCAATCTCCCTGACTCCATTACTTCAACAGTCCCATTGACTTTCTATGAATACAGTGAATTAAGCTAAATGCTTTCTTTTAGGTTACAGAATTCCAAAATTGATAGTTTATGTATGTGTATCCGTGACTCCTTGCATTAGACTAACACAGTAATGTAATGGTCTATAGAGCATGGTACCAACAAATTCAAGAAGCATATAGGAAAATTATGCCTTAAACTTTTATAGGAGCTCAGGTAACTAGGTGCAAATCTCCTAAGCAAACACAGTGCAAACTAAGTTTGCCCAAGATTTAACCTGGCACAGATGAATTTATTTCCCAATTTTTCTGATTTTCTGGTAATATGTAATACATTTACAAGAAAGCAACTTAAGTGAAGATGAGGAACTCTATTCTGTTCATTACTGTACCAGGATCTAGAAGAATATTTGTCACTTTGTAAACGCTTCAAACAAAAAGCATAGAAAAAGACTTATGCTGGAGAATTGTCTCAGAAGTTAAGGGCACTGGCTGCTCTTCCAGAGGATTCTGGCTCTATTCCCAGCATCCATCTAGTAGCTCACAACGATCTGAAACTCCAGTCCCAGGGGATTTGACACTCTCTTCTAGACTCTATGGGCACTGCAGACACGTGGGGTAGACACGGCAAACAAAACAACCATGCACATAAACAATTTTAAGAAGCATATAAAAACAATGGCCCACCAATGCACAAAAAGAATGAATGTACAGATACTAGTAATGTCTGTCTCTCTAGGGTGGTGTACCAATATCTACTAATATCTGACCATCTCTTATCCTTAGCATGGTAAAGCCAAAAGAAGAAGTAAAGATATTGTCCCAGCTCTTTCTAAAGAGTAAATAAGATTTCCATGGAGTTTTGAAGCATATTCCAGATAGAAATCTGGTGACCACCTTCCACCTATGACAACTGCAACTCTGCTAAGAATGCTGCAGACAGAAAGAAAGAGGACCATGTAGGCTGGATCTGAGGAACTCTGCAAGCTCTAAGAATCTTGCTTGCTGTCTTCTGCTGCTCAGAGCATACACACTGCCTGCCTTTCCCTCTCTCTGTTCAGCTGCCTGGGTATCTTTCAGGCTCTAGTCTGAGGCCCTATGACATCATAGGGCCTTCACTCATATTTCCTGACCCTTCCCTGCCTACATAAATCAGAATCCAGCTTCATCCACATTTCTGTGGCCATGAGGCCTTCAAGCCTCACACTACAGGCTTTATAACTCAAGCCTCTTTCTTGTCCATAGACCCATCAATAGCAATATATTATATACTGGTAATTATACTTATGAGTCCTTATTAATTAAATCTTTGTTTCCTGCAACAGACTGTAAGGTCCACAAGGAAAGAAAACATGAATTAACTGTATTAAGCCCTGTATCTTGTCAGACTTCAAATAAGGCCTGTGCTCACAGTTGTATGCAACAGAAAGGTATCTGGTACAAGATCCAGGTAAGAAGAAGGACAAAAGCCAATAGTTACAAATTCCCGTGCATAGAGTCATACTAGCAGGCTTTGTGACAAATGTACCGGTGAGAACAGAAAAGATGGAAGGCAGACAACAGGCAACTGATGTGAATCAACAGCAGCAAATACACAACAGTCTCACAGTCTCATGGTGAACTAACTGCCAATCAGGGCTAAAGATAAAAAATAATGTGACAAAAAGCTTAGGACCATGCTACCAACAGCAATAACATCCTTAACGCACAACAACATACTGCTTGAAAAAGGATGGCATGTATCTATAAAAAAAGCAGGTCACCTATCCAGGAAAACACAGGAAGAGCAGAACGAAACTCCCTGCAGTTCCTACTAGACACCCTCAGGCAATCTGGGTAGTTATGAAAATAACTGAAATTGAGGCCTTGGAGGGATTTCAGCATGCCATGTCCATCAAGGTGTTATTTACAAAGATATGGAAATGAGCTAAAAGCCCATCCACAGATGAGGGGGATAAAGAAAATGTGGTATATGTTTGCAAAGGGATATTCAGCCTTTCAACAGAAAGAAATACTGAATGTCTTCCAATGTAAGCTGAAAGAAACTAGTCACAGAAATATACTGACTTCATGATTCCCTGACATGTGAAATATAAAACATTCAAACTCAGAAAACTCTAGAGTGGAATAGTAGTTACTCAGGTCATGGGAACAGGAGGGAAGTAAAATTATCTATCAACAGATAGAACTCCAGTTACGATGGCTAAGTTCCAGATGTGTAACCATACTGTACTCTACACTTGAAAATACTAGGAAGATGTACATGGCCGAGTGGCCTGGCCACAGCACAATTTCAAAAAGAAAGAATCTGGATCAACCAGCTGCTTTATGGATCATTTCAAAAGTACTTCTTAGATAAGTTATTATTGGTAACACGTTTCTTGGCAACCCATGTTAAAAAGAGCCACGTAGGCAGGAGGGGCAGAGAAGAGGCAAAGTTATTGCCATGATGTGGCATGTAGGTAAAGACGGATTTCACAAACACATTTAGTCACAGCTCAGACTGTACAGACTCAAGTGGCTATCTTAAAAAGCTAACGGCAACAGACACCTATTCTATTCAACTAGTACTCCATGAAAGGCAAGAACAGGTAGTTCTAAGGCATAAGAGATATGAAGATGGATCTGGACTCAGGGCAAAGGTATCTACCTACCCAAGAGGGAAAGCAAGTATCAGAATATCTATGAATATATTTTTCCCTATGAGAAAATGGCTTAAGATTTTTTTTTTAAGTTTAGACATTTAAAGCTTTCAAATTTCTCAGAACATCTGGACGCCCTCTTGAGATGAGAATGGTGGTGCATACCTGCGATCCCAGTACTCAAGAGGATTACCCAAGCCCAGCAACTCAAGAGTAACCTGAGCAGGAAGAACTATTCCAAAGTCCCACTGCAGCAAAGCACTATTCACAATAATTACAACTTAAATCTAAATTAAAGTAAAAATCACCTGGGCCAATGAGATAGTACAGAAGGGCAACAAGCCTGATGACCAGAGTTTGATACCCAGAAGCCAAATGGTGGCCAACTTGTACAAGTTATCCTCTGACCTTACATGAGCTACAACTTGCTTAGGAAAGACAGGGAAAAAGAAAATAAAGAACCAAGCACAAAGCAGTAAGGATACTAAAAGTGATGGCGGAAAAAAAAATCTGACTCCTGCAAGATGTCCTTGGACCCCCATGTGTGTGCGATGGTACTCATACACAAAGACATGAACAACAAAATAAGTTAATTAAAAAACAGAAGCAAAGCCTCTCTCACAGGTACAAGTTATGGTAACTTATATCGTGTTTTGTCAAACTGAGGATGTTTTTGTCACAATCTAGGGGAGCCAGAGAGCACTGGCCCCACATGGGTTAGAGAGATGTGGAATGGTATGGTACTACTAACAACCCTGTACACAGCAGCCTCCATTTCTGCCTTCAGAAGGCACCTACCTTGCAAGTCAAAGACCTGGTGCAGGGCTTCTTGGTATCCAGATCGATGACCCCACAGTGGATGTCAGGATCAAACTCTCTTTCTGTCAGAAGCACACAAACATTACTTAAGTGGGTGTACTCAACACTATCTTCAATTTTTAAATAAGAAGAACCTCAAGAAAGACAAATTCTAGCCATAGTAAGATGGATATTATTAATGAATATACTGCAGATGAGGTGTGAGCATTGCAATAAACATTATCCTCACTGAAAAGCTACAACTACTCTCGGATGCCTAGAAAATATTTACTTATTTATTTTGCATAAGAGTATTTATATTCAGAAAAATCATGGGGAACAAAATTTCATTATAGCACCTGAATGTGTTGAACAAAATCAATTGCACTCTTTATAACTAAGCGTAAATAAAGGCAGATCCACCCTGAAGGCACTCTTCCCACACCTCAAGTCCACCAGCCTTAAGAAGGCCTTTCATTTACGATCTGTGCATACTTAACTTTCTACACACAAAAACTTTGAGAAAACTGTGATGTTACCTGATAATCTCTTATTTAAAAACTTCCTGTTATTAGAATTATCTTCAGATTTCTTTTCCAGAGTAGGTGTTGCAGGAAGCCCTTTGCCATTCAGAATCTGTCCAGGTGAAGGCAAGGTTGGCTTTGGTATTGAGGGGCAGTTAAGGCCAGGCTTGACTGCAGAACTCGCAGGAGCAGGACAGGCGGGCCCCACTGTGGATTTCAGTAGTGTGCCGTCCATCTTCGGATGCATCTTTTCCACCTTCACAGAGGGTGTCATGCTGTTGCAGGGGAGGAGAGAATAAATAAATAAGTGGCCTTTCTTCCAGAGGGATGGGAGAAAAGCCTAGATTTATCTGAATATGCATAGGCTCTGGGAAGGCCTTGTACATTTTGTATGAACCACTAAGAAAGGCTAGCAGAGTTCACAGCCCTTTTGACAAAAAGTGCAGTACATAAAATTGACCTGTGTTTATTCTTTCAGAAACATTTCCCTATGGACCTATAGGAAACTCAGACTCAATAAGTCAATGCAGTTTTTATAAGAGGCAAAACAGAGTTCTAGAAGAACCAGGATGATGCCACAGAATCTTGGGAGAATCCCTCACAAGAACTATCACTTTAACAAAAAGAAATGATTAAAATACGAGAGGACATGCCAGTGGGACCTTCTGAGAACTCAAATGCAACACCCAACACAAAGCCTAACATCCCCAGACACTGCTCTGCTTCTGCCCACAGGAAAGACTTGAATCAGCACAGGAGGCATTACCTTATGGTAATGCCTATGCTCTAGTCCCTGAGCACAGGCTCCTATGACATGAGCTTAGGATAGATGCAAGTGGCAACTGGTTGGTGAGCAGGAAGACCTGTGCAACTGACAAAGCAATTTCTCTTATGATTTTACTGACACTCACTTTGCTGGGTAAAAGTGATGTCAGTAAAACCCCAATAGTTCACTTGGTCCCCTTCTAAGCCTTCATTCGACTATAGAGGTTTGGATAAGTATATGCAAACCCTAGTGTTCCTGTGCTCTTCTCCATGAACAGGGGCTGGGAGCTCAGCAACCGAACAAACTGCAGTGAACAGTTTTGTTGTCCTGGAACAGTCGGACAGCAAAAAAACTACTACAAACTATTCTGGCCTCTTGCAGTTGGCAGGTACTCAATTGTTTTCTAAGATAACCAAGTATTAGATGTTGGGAATGGAATGTATGGTATATCCCATCCCCTAAAGGGAAGCAGGCCAAAGAAACACTACTTGCTACCAGGGTGAGAGATACCATGACAAAGCAAGATACAGATATGCTTCTATCAGAGTGCAGTGACCTCAAGAGAGCTCCCAGCTGCAGACCCACCCTAGAAGCTTGTCAAAGCCATATAGGCAAGTGAGAACTCCTTCCAGTCTTCCCTCCTCATGCTGTGCCTTAAAACCCAAGCTGGGAGGAAACCCTGCTTGTCCAGAGGCCACTGGGGACTCTTGACTTTCTCTTATCTCCATTATTAACAACAGAGGCAGGAGGGATACCAATGGCCACTCATTTGCTGGCTCCAATGGCTGAATAGACAGAAGTTAGGTGCTTGGCGGATAGCAAACTTCTTCCAACCCTATAGTGGCTGATGCCTTACACCCCCAAGAGATTTAGTGCCTCACTTCTACCAGGAAGAAAACAGAAGTAGGCTTTGAACCTAGATCTATATGACTTAAAGACCTTCTCAATAAAGCATCTCAACTTAGGCTGCCTTTACCCATGTGAAAAAAGGAATAACATTACATATTCCACAGGGTCAATACATGACATCACAGACAAATATAGCTCACTTTGAGTAAGTCATACAGGAAAGGATCACTAAATATGACCAGCATTATTATTGTGATAACTGACCTGAACAGCCACCAATTCAAGGTAGGAAAACAGAAAGAGCTAACAGTGTACTTGAACTCCCCTGTGAATACTTTACCATGATTCACAGGCACTCCTGTATGGATGGCACCCATACAGGACTCATCCTAGCAGGCAAGCCTTACATACCCATGTGGCCATACTTACACTCTAGCATGGGGGACTTTAGTCTGCTGCACCGGAAGCATGGGCTTGGTGTTCCCCCTGAGCTGCAGTTTCTCTTTGGGCAATTTGAGTAACTTGGAGCTTGATGAGGATGCGCAAAGGACCCCTCCACTGGAAGACCGGCTGCTTCCACTGGCACTGCTGCCTTTGCTTTTGGACAGAGAAGGGAAGAGGGAAAATACTGAAGTGTGAGGGACAGCCAAGGAAGGCTTGCTAGATGAGCTATGTCTTCTTTCTGAAACAGAAAACAAAAACAGAAAAAAAAAAAAAAGTTTAAGGCAAACCTCAATGGAAGGCTGAGACAGCTCCCTGAAGTCAAGCAACACATTTCTGTTAAAACATAAATCATTAAGTAAAGCATGCTAAATCCTGAAGGTTTCTTCGTTTGTTTTTCAAGACAGGGTTTCTCTGTCCTGAAACTCACTCTACAGCCAAGAGTGGCCTGGAACTCAGAGCGATACCCCTATCTCTGTCTCCTGAGCACTGGGACTGAGGTGTGTACCACCACTGGCTGGCAAATCCAACAATTTAAGAAAGGTCTTACGCAGACCCCACAGACCAAGTTCTAGAAACCAGTCATTTTGTTTCCAAGTCTATCAATACATAAAGAGGTGTGCCACATAAACCCATTGGGAAATCAAACCTTTCAAACATGAGCAAAGCACCTTGTGGATCTTGGACACAGCAATTCACACACAGGAAAAAAACAAAAAAACAAAAAACTAAGCTCATTTGCAGAGTTCTGCTAACTGACACTGACTAGTATGCCTTCATCTTCTCTGACTCTTAGAATAAAAAATTGTAAGAAACAAACAAAAGCTTGCCTATGATGCCAAACAAGACTGTTTCTAGGACTCTTATCGTTCCCTAGGAATCTGCCAGACTTTTCCAATCAATCATTCTAAGCCCCTCCCACCTTTTAAAAGTAATCTCAACTGACTAGAGGTGGCATAACTGCTTCACAACACTAAGGTGCCAAAGGCTCAACACAGAAATACCACCAAGAGGCAGGCCTGTTTCTTTTTCTTCTTTTGAAACCAGGAAGTAACTTTTGGGTAAGTACAGACTACAAAAGCGTAATGCAGAAAAAATCTAACTACCTGAGAATAAGGCTTCCTAAGAGCAGATGCAAACTATTATAAATCAAGAGTTACTGGCAATCCTACCATAAGAAACACGCCAGTCATTGGTAATGCAGTTTGAGGACATTGTGGGTAGTTTAGTAGCGGCCTTGATTTCAGAAATGACAATCACACATTGTCCTAATTTAAGGTTTTACAGTTTGCAAACTATTATTATCAAAATACAGAAAGCTGTATGGATACTTAAAATATTAATTGTGTTAGAATCAGTGACTACAAGCACCATTTAAATAGCTAATTTCCAAATCTTTTTTCATAGTTGAGAACCTCTCAGTGAAGTTCTGTAGTCTATCATGTACTCCAGAGCCAGGTTCATACCAAGACAAATGATGCTACTAACAGAAAATTCAAATTCTCCAAATCAGTGCCATAGAGGCTACAACCAAGTTAAGAGGATAAACTGAGAGCCATCTGAAAAGTGCTTCCTTTTTCTGCCCCTATCCCAGCCCCATCATATGAAACGTGTGTGTGTGTGTGTGTGTGTGTGTGTGTGTGTGTGTGTGTGCAAGGAATGTAACCCTGAAGTAATTTCAGTTTAATCTTTTCCTCCATTTGGTACCTATATTGCTTTGTTCTAAATTTAGTTTTCCTAGTGTGGAATGGTGGTGCTTGGTGCTCACACTCAGGAGAATGAGGAAAGCTGAAGACAGACTGAGCTGATGGCTACACCAGTTCTAACTGCACAATGCCCCATCACCACCACCATCACCACCACACACAGACAGATGCACATCAAAAACAAGACAATTCAGTCTAGTTGTAGCACGTTTGAGGTTCTGATGTCAGCTCCTAGCACTGTAAAACTATGTAATTAATTTTTAAAAAGTCAAAGAAACCAGTCAAAAGGTAGCTCTTTTTGTTATTCCAAAATGCTTTGAACATGTAGCCAAGTGTTTTAGCACTTTTCAGTGGCAACTAAAAATATGTTTATACTGTTGCCAGCTGCCCAGAGTCAACAAGATTTCCAGGAGCCTTGTCTCTTAACCACAAAACAGTCTTCAGTTAACATTATTAAGACTGTTATAGCTTTTCCTCTGATAAGAAGTGTTTTCAAATGACAGTAGCCCATGGGCTCTCAACCTTGACTACACTGAAATGGCTCAAAGAGCTTTCAAAATTCTAATAAGGCTGAGAATGGTTATATGTAGCTGTAAACCCAGATTTGGGAGAGGTGAACACAGAAAGATCAAGGGTTGAAGGATAGCCTCAGCTATGTCAAGTTCAAAGCCAGGTGAGACAGAAAACAGTGGCAACTAGATGACATAGAGATTAAAGATGTTGTTGTGTAAACTTGGTGTGATTTTTTTTTTTTTTTCTGTCTCTGAGTATTACTGGAAAAGTTCTCAATAGCCCACTCAGGATGAAAATCTATGAATAAGGGCTTTCCAAACCAGGAAACAGTTCTGCAACCCACAATATAAAAACACAAGAAACATAAAAAAGCAAGTTAACAAAACTTGTCTAAAGCTACCGATCAATTACAGAATTAAAAATACTGGGATGGGCACAGTGTTAGAAGATGTCAAGTTTATTAGGAAAATGATCACTGACCTCACAGAGGACACCAGCAAATGAGTGACATATGCAAATAACTTCAGGACCTAGAAAGGAATGTCCTTGGCAAAGAAGAAAAGATCAGCAAAATGGATGAGAAAAATAGCAATATCAGAAAAGAAGATGTAATTAACTTATTGCAACTGAAAAAAAAAATAGAAATGCTGGAAATGAAAAAAACACAGTGTAAAGCATCACAATGGACTTGACTATAATAGAAAAAACACCAGGAAAGATATGGCTGACAAGATAAATATATTTAAATGATAAAGAAAAAGATAAAGAAAAACCCATAAACTACAATGACCACACCTCTAAAACATCCATGATAGAAAAAAGAGATCACCTCTAAGAATCCATGGTATAAAAAGAACCACAACAGGAACTAAAAACACAGTAAATCTATTAAATGAAATTAGTGAAAATTTCCTATACCTTGGAAAAGACACTGATTTCCAAGCACAATTGTATTTAGAGCCTAAACAGACATGATCATAGAACAAATTCTCCCACAAAATATTATGATCAAGATGTTAAAAATATAATGCAACAAAGGAAACAGCTAGTATTAAGGAGAAAATGCCAACAGAGCAAATACACCAAAACAATATCCTATCTCTCACCAGCAACTCCCAAAACCAGAAAGGTAGGGAACAACACATTTCTTTTCATTTATGTGTGTGCCATATGTGCGGATGTCTGCAAGTGACAGGGATTGTGAGCTATCCAAGATGGGTGCTGGGGTGACGCTTGGCCTCTGGAAGAATAGCAAGAGCATCTAACTGCTGAGCCATCTCTCCTGCCCCTCACATAACATGTTTCAAAATGAGAAAGTACTGACAAGTGAATTTGCTATTCAACAAAACTATCTGAGGAATAAACACATGACTTCCAGATTAGCTAAAGCAATTCATGACCCCAATTCAGCAGTGCAACAAATATCTGAAAATTCTGTACATACAAAAGGACGATCTCAATAATGAAACAGGAGAAAATAAATTTTATTAGAGGAATCAATAAATAGAGTAGCAAGGAGGGAATCTACCAGGTTTAACACATGTGTGATACTCTTTACAGAACTAGAAAAAGAAAATCTTACAATTTGTACAAAAGCATAAATGATCCCAACGAGCAAAATGCAACGCTGGAGGCATCACTCTTCCTGATCTCCACTTTTAAAATAGAGCTACAGGGACAAAGCCAGCATGGCACAGGCACAAACGGACGCATAGACCAACGAGATAGAAAAGAGGACACAGAAATATGACCACACAGCCATAGACACCTGATCTTTGACAAAGGTGTCAAAGCCATCCCTGGAAAAATAATAGTATGAAAACTACACAGATACATGCAAAACAATGAAACCAGCTCACAGCGCTTCTCTCACACACATAAAAATCAAATAGATCAAAGATGTTAATTTAAGACTTTAAAGGCCAGGTGTGGTGGTCGGCACATGCTGGTAATCCCAGCACTCTGGCAGGCAGAGGCAGGTGGATCTCTGTGATTTGAGGCCAGCCTGGTCTACACACTGAATCCAGAACATCCAAGGCTACACAGAGAAACCCTACCTCATAACACCCAAAACAAACAAACAAAAGACCTTAAATTCTGAAACTGCTGAAGAAATACTGCAAAGTACAAGCAAGGACTTCCTGAGACAGATTTTAAGAGTAAAGAAATAACAGCAAGTGCTGATAGTGGGATTGTGTAAAATTTAATTACTTCTGTACAACACTGGAACAATCATCAATGTAAAGAGACTGTCTAGAGAATGGGAGAAAGTACTTGGCAATCATATATCAGAGAGGATTAACATCTAGAATTTAAAAAGAACTCTAGAACCTAAATACCATCAGAATCAGCTGATCATTCAATAAACAGTGGAACCCACGGACTGCATAGATAGTTCTCCAAAGAAGCATAACTAGTAGATAAATATTTGGAAAAGTGCTCAACAACAATAGCCAGCAAGGAAATACAATTTATAATACTTTCATTTTTGCAATTAACTAAGCTTTAATGTTGCCCTAGTAAGAATGGCTGTCAAGAAAACAAAGGAGATGTAGCTCAATGCCTAAATGCATTGGAAGTCCTAGACTCCATCCCCAGAACCTCAGGCAAATGGTTTAGAGGAGAACACCTATAATCCTACACTGGAAAGGCAGATCAAGACAGCCTGGGACACATGAGATCGAAACTCAAATAAACAAACAAATAAGCAAAGCAAATAAATAAATGAGATGAAAGGATAACAAATGCTGACAAGGATATGGAAGAAAAGAAACCCTTACACATAAAGTGGAAAATGTGAGAGTCTCTATGGAAGTCAGGAGGTTTCTCGAATCACTGAAAATAAAACTCCCACAGGACTCTGCCGTGACCACTCCAGGGGTATACAGGCATGAAGGGTTCTAAGTCAGCACACTGCAGAGATACTTGTACCTCCTTGTTTATTATAACTATGCACATAAAACTAGTGCAGGTGTTCACCAGCTGGTGGATGGATAATGAAAATGTAGCACATACAAACTGA